ATGGGACAGCTGTTTAGGATTGAATTGAGGAGGAATTTATTATAATCACATGAAGTTTTGGGACTATGGAATGAACATTATGTTCCGATAAATTGTATCAAGAGCCTTGTACCTTTCAATGACTACTCCTTAGCTTGAGTACGCCTCATCAAAGACCACCCAAGAAGCTGCATATTAAGATCTCAAGTACGTTATCAATTGTCCATTCTCTTGACCTTGTCAGATGTTTATGAAGAGATGAGAGAATTCTGTGACCGCAAGAATTCAGCTTTTCCTTTGAAAAGCTAACAGATGGTCAGGAGTAGTATTTTGGAATTAAGGCTTTTACAAGACTGTGTTGTAATGTTGGACTCCAGTTGCACAGGGGTCCGATCATATTGAAGCTCAGGCCTTGATTCGTTTTTGTGTTCAAACCCTTGAGCCCAGATCCTTGGGATTGAGACTTGAGGATGCTACTGACTGTGCCACAGGCTGCCAAAGCTGAGGACCCTAATGGTGACTGTGGAAATGCCAGTCCTGGCTAGTTCTGCCTGTCAATGTGTGTCTGGCTAGACACAGCCTGCCTTTATCACTGCCTTTTTAATTCAACGATGCTGAAACCAATTGTAGCTTTCAGGTGCAACAAGAAGGACCAAATATGGGAACTCGGTTTAAGTCTAGGCAGGAAATGTTGAGGCTAAATTGAAGTTTCAGGCACCATCCACCATTAGAACTGAGAAGTTCTTCAGCCAGAGGGTGGTGAATCTGTAGGAATTGCTGCAAAAGGCTGTGGACACCAAGTTACACCTAGACAGAGGTAGATAGGTTCATGATTAGTAAGGGCATCAACATCGTCGTGGTATTATTGCTGGACTGTTAATGCAGTGACCTGGGTAATGTTCCGGAGGCCCAGCTATCAAATCCTGCCACGGCAGATGGTGGAATTTGAATTCAATTAAAACCATGGAATTAAGAATCTAAAGATAAAAACACCCATCTGGTTCACTAATGTCCTTTAGGGAAGGAAACTGCCATCCTTACCTGGTCTGGCCTGCATGTGACTCCAGACCCACAGCAATGTGGGTGACTCTTAACTGCCCTCTGGGCAATTAGGGATGGGCAATAAGTGCTGTCCTAGCCATCAATGCCCTTGTCCTGTGAATGAATGAAAAAAAATTAAAAGTGACAGTGAGAAGACAGGAGAGTGTGATCATGAAACATATTGGTCATGATCGAATGGTGGAGCAGACTCGATGGGCTGAATGGTCTAATTCTTCTGTATCTTTTTGGTCCAGGTGCTAAGTATTGATTATTCCTTCTATCCTTAATGGATCAAACACACTTTCACCTCACTTTGGTGATTATCTATGGTATTTGCAGCAAAAGTTTATTTACAGTGCATGTTGGTGATTGTCGGGAAGTTGAGGGTGAAGTCTAGAGGCTGGAGGTTTCCCGCCATTCCCATCCTCTCCCATATGGCCTTCCCTGATAATGGATTGATTGGTTGGGCAGGTTCCAGTGGGACTGTACCCAAGAGGGTAGCAACATCTTCGCAAGAGGAGCGGTTATGGAGGGAGAAACATTGTGATTCATAACAGCGTACCTCAGCAATAATGCTAACTTTAAAAATTATATTTGTCACAAAACAAACTTAACTCTCCAACAATTGAAAACCCAGTTTCTCCAGTGGCAATAGAGTTGGCACTGTTACAGAATTAAACTTTGAAAGGTTGTTACAATTATTTTCCCTCACTCCTGACTCATTAGGAATGTGCAGAAATGTGAAAACTTTTGTAATAATTATGAAAAAAAAAACTTCTTTTCGTTACTACTTCCATTTGTAATTTTTGCCTGGTACAAGCAGTAGCTTGGCTCAGTTTAATCTTACACTCAATCCTGGGTTACAGCCCCACAGTAACTTGCATTCTTATGGAGCTTTTACTATAGTAGCATGTTCCAAAGTTGTACAGCAGAGAAAGGTGACACTGAGCTAGCCATCCGAGGTGTCAATATGCCCGATAACCGGAAACTTGGACGAAAACATAGTCTCGGAGGAGCACCTTGGAGGTGTGGAGAGAAAAGGAGAGTCTTAGGGAGAGAATTCCAGAGCTGACAGCTATTAATGGTGAGCGATTCGAGTTGGGTATATTTAAGAAGTCAGACTTAGCTGTTGGAGATTCCCAAGTTAGAGCGGAGCAAGGTCATGGAGGGATTTTATAAAAGCAGATGAGAATTTTCAAAATTAATGCTTTCAAATGTATAAAAATTTGCTTGGACATGGGCATCGTGGACTGTGCCAGCATTTATTTCTCTTGAGAAGGTGGTGGTGAGCTGCCTCCTTGAACCGCTGCAGTCCATGTGCTGTGGGTTGACCCTCAATGCCCCTAGGGAGGGCATTCCAGGATTTTGACCCAGCGACAGTGAAGGAACAGCGATATATTTCCAAGTCAGGATGTTGAGTGGCTTGGAGAGGATCTTGCAGGGTTTGGTGTTCTGCTGCCTTTGTCCTTCTAGATGGAAGTGGTTGTGGAATGTCACTTTGTTGGGAGTCAGCATGGGGCTGATGAGCAAATGGCATTTGGTGTGAATTGGGACACAGCAGAGTTTTAGGAGGTGGAAGCTGTTTAGGAGTGTGTGTTTAGCTGGTCTTGAGCTAAGCTGAATAAATTGTGGGTACTTCTTATTGGAGCTGTCCTTGTTTAAATCAGACTCCAATTTGTTTATTCAGATGTAGAAAAAGTCCTGTCGCAGCCCTTCTTTGAAATATACCCAGGGATCTTTCACATCTGCCTGAGTCACCACTGAGCTGGCCAATGGCTCAGATGTGAGCCCACAACAGACTAATGCACGTGTTAAAAATACAAAGCTTAACAGAAACATAATTGGACAGAAAAAATGTGATTGACTGGATCTGAAATGCTTTGTGACATCCTTTGAGAGGTGACTGTACAAATTCATGTTCTTGCTCCCAAGGGAAGTTTGCATTTATATAGCGTTTCTCACCACCACCAGACGTTGCAAAGTGCTTTACAGCCAGTTTTAGAAATGTGGTTACTATTGCAGTGGAGGTAACGTGAGAGCACAGCAAGATCCCACAAGCAGCAAAGTGGTAATGAGCAGATAATCTGTTTCCTAGTGATGTTATTGGAGGGATAAATAATGGCCAGGATCATGGATCACTTCCCAACTTCTCTTCGAAATAGGGTCATAGGATCTTCCTTTATGGCTATCTGAACGCACAAATGGGGTTTAACTCAGAGTAGCCGATGCTGGAACAATGACAGAGAATGCTGGAGAAACTCAGCAGATCTGGCAGCATCTGGAGAGAGAAACAGAGTTAACGTACATGAATAAGAAATGTTTGGAAGGATATGGGCCAAGTGCAGGCAGGTGGGACTATTTAGTTTGGGATTATGGTTGGCATGGACTGGTTGGACCAAAGGGTCTGATTCTGTGGTGCATGACTCTATGAATAGGAGATGTCTTTTCCCTAGGGCTGGGGATTTCAAGACTAGGGGGCACATTTTGAAGGTGAGAGGAAAGAGATTTAAAAATACATGAGAGGCAAAGTTTTTACACAGAGGTTGGTTTGCATGTGGAATGAACAAAGAACAAAGAAATTTACAGCACAGGAACAGGCCCTTCGGCTCCAAGCCTGCGCCGATCCAGATCCTCTATCTAAACCTGTCACCTATTTTCCAAGGATCTGTATCCCTCTGCTCCCTGCCCATTCATGTATCTGTCTAGATACATCTTAAATGACGCTATTGTGCCCACCTCTACCACCTCCGCTGGCAACACGTTCCAGGCACCCACCACCCTCTGCGTAAAGAACTTTCCACGCATATCTCCCTTAAACTTTTCCCCTCTCACCTTGAAATCGTGACCCCTAATAATTGAGTCCCCCACTCTGGGGAAAAAGCTTCTTGCTATCCACCCTGTCTATACCTCTCGTGATTTTGTAGACCTCAATCAGGTCCCCCCTCAACCTCCGTCTTTCTAATGTAAATAATCCTAATCTACTCAACCTCTCTCCATAGCTAGCGCCCTCCATACCAGGCAACATCCTGGTGAACCTCCTCTGCACCCTCTCCAAAGCATCCACATTCTTTTGGTAATGTGGCGACCAGAACTGTACGCAGTATTCCAAATGTGGTCGAACCAAAGTCCTATACAACTGTAACGTGACCTGCCAACTCTTGTACTCAATACCCCGTCCGATGAATGAAAGCATGCCGTATGCCTTCTTGACCACTCTATCGACCTGCGTTGCCACCTTCAGGGTACAATGGACCTGAGCACCCAGATCTCTCTGTGCATCAATTTTCCCCAGGGCTTTTCCATTTACTGTATAGTTCACTGTTGAACTGGATCTTCCAAAATGCATCACCTCGCATTTGCCTGGATTGAACTCCATCTGCCATTTCTCTGCCCAGCTCTCCAATCTAACTATATTCTGCTGCATTCTCTGACAGTCCCCTTCACTATCTGCTACTCCACCAATCTTAGAACTTCCTAAGGAAATGGTGGATGTGGGTACAATTAAAACATTTAAATAAGTTCATGAGTAGGAAAGCTTTGGAGCGATATGGACCAAGCGCAGGCAGGTGGGACTAGTTTAGTTTGGGATTATGGTCGGCATGGACAGGTTGGACCAAAGGGTCTTTTTCTGTGCTGTATGACTATAACGTTTCAGTCTGGAATGACTTCTTCAGAGGGTCAGAAGATGGGGTTTAAAGTTGCAAGCAAACAGTGCAGCTTTCTCTCAGTACTGCTTGGGAGTCTCAGACTTATCTGTGGTGCTTAAAGCCTGGAGTGGCTGTTGAATTTGGAGCCTATTGGCTCAGAGAGGAGAGTGCTATCCACTTGAGCTATGGCTGACACTGTTGGTTAGCCTTTTGTCTTGTGTATCTCAGGGAGCCCCTGTGGCAGAAAAGTTTAAATCTAATGAATGATTGGTGGAGTTGCTGCCTTGTTAATGAGGTCTTAACGTTTTGATTTTGTTGATCCCATTTCTTTAGGATACCATTGTTGATCCGTTCAAGCTGACTGACCAATCAGCAGCAGGAGAGACCTCATCCTGTGCTACGGCCTGCAGTGTACCAAGCAAAAAATGCTGCTGAAGTTTTCCACCCTGTGCTTACTCCGATAACCAGGGAACGCAATGTCAAGGAATGATTAGAAGTGAAAATGAGCCAGAGATTCTCCCACAGTGGTCTGAGCTCTGCCGAAATGAAGTTAAATCTGCCTGTGGCCAAGCCACGCTGACATCCTGACTTGGTCGGAAAGAAATAGAAACTTAAAAGTTCTGAAAACGCTGTCAGTTTGGCAGCATCTATGGAGAGAGGAGCAAGGTTGCCGTTTCAAATCAGAATGAGTCAGATTCAGATTCGAGGCTTTAACTCTGCTTTAAAATAAAAACCAAAAGAACTGCGGATGCTGGAAGTAGGAGACCAAAACAGAAGTTGCTGGAAAAGCTCGGTAGGTCTGGCAGCATCTGTGGAGAGAAATTAGAGTTAACGATCCAGGTCGAGTGACCCTTCCTCAGACCTGATGGTAGCTAGGAAAATGTCAGTTTATGTGCAGATGATAGGGTGGGGAGGAGGGGCTAAGGTGTAAATGATAGGTGGGGATAGAGCCCAAAGAGAAAGAAGAGCATTGGACAGATAAAAGAGTGGATAACGATCAGGACAGGAGGGTGAATAGCTGTTAATGGGGACTGTTAGTGGCTAACAATAGGTGGTGTGTAATAGCAGGCTATATGGTAACAAGGCCTGGTGTGTGGGGTGGGGCACTGGGACATGGGAGAGTTTAGGCCCTAAAATTATTGACCTCAATATTGAGTCCGGAGGGCTGTAGGGTCCCCAAGCGGAAAATAAGGTGCTGTTCTTCCAGCTTGCGCTGAGCTTCACTGGAGCACTGCATCAAGCCTGAGACAGAGATGTTGGCCAGGGAACAGGGTGGTGTGTTGAAGTGACAGGCAACAGGTAGCTCAGGATCTTTTTTGCGAGCAGAACCCAAGTGTTCTGTGTTAATTCTGCTTTTTTGTCCTCATAGATGCTGAGTTTCTCCAGCACTTTCTGTTTTTATTACAGATCTCCAACATCCACAGTATTTCAGGTTTGTTTTTAAGGGAGTTAAGAGTTGACACCAAGTCCCACATTTTGTCACACACTGAGAACTGGGACTATTGAGACCCACCTTGTGCTTTTCACTCAAGATGCAAGCTGTGGTTTCAGGCCACAATCGGCAAAGCCTAGAAATTCACTGTTCGGGACTTTTGCTCTGTCACAAATAATTTTCATTGCAATAAAAGAACCTTACTGTCTAACCAATAATGTGAGTCTGTTACTAAGTAACCTTACCACTCAAGTTAACTAGATTGCAGTCTGCAAGTCAGCTCAAAGGATGATGAGATTTACTGACAAGTTTCAGAGCGTTACGATGTATGAGCTGACGGCCTTGTTTTATTCCCCTTCGTTTTCTCCATCTACCAGCCCCATTGGTGGCCTGTCCATTTTAACTCTGGCTCTGAGTCACCAAGTCATGTCCTCTTGAGCCCAGGATGTAGGCTGCCACTTCACTGCGGTATTGAGGGAGTGCAGCATTGCTGGAGACCCACTTTTCCCCTGTCATTTCCCTGTAGCGCTGCAAACCTTTCTTTTTAATCAACTATTTATCCTCCTCTCGAAAGCTACCACTGAATCTGTTTCCAGCACCATTTTAATCACTACATTCTAGAACATACTGGCTAAAAGGAAGTTCTCCTCATCATCTCCCTGGTTCTTTTGCTGCATGTCTTAAGTCTTTGTCTCCTAGTTATCAGTGGAAAAGCTTTCCTCCTTGTCAACTACCTCAAAATCTCTCCAGGTTGAACACCCGTATCTAATCTCGCATTAACCTTCTCTGCTCGGAGGCAGTTATTCCGACTTCTCTAACCCTTCCATATAACAACATTCCCTCATCCCTGTTATCCTTTTAATAAATCTCCTTCTCATCCTAGCACAGTAATGCAGCTGAGGCCCTGCCAAAGCTTGTTAAAGGGTTAGCATTGGCACCAGTGTTCCTGCAGTATCTGGTCAAGTTGCAGTTCAGGATCTTTTTTTGTTCACTTTAGCAACGTGGGCATTGCTGGTTGGGCCAGTATTTATTGGCCAGTCCTAACTGCCCTGGAGAAGCTTGTGTTGAGCAACTTCCTTGACCTGCTGCATCCCATGGTGCAAGTGTACCCACAGTGCTGTTAGGAAGAGATTTCCAGGTTCGGTGCAGGCAGTGTGGGCTGAATGGCCTCCTCCTGCACCGTAACAATTCTGTGATTTTCACCAAGTGGCAGTGAAGAGATGGTGATCATTCCGACTCAGGATGATATGAGAGTGGAACTTTTGCAAGCGGGTGCTCCCGAGCAACTGCTGCCTTTGTCCTGAGAAGGGTCCCGACCCGAAACGTAGCACAGTACAGGCCCTTCGGCCCACAATGTTATGCTGACCTATTATCCTACTAAGATCAAACTATCCTGCATATCTTACATTTCGCTATCCTCCATGTGCCTCTCCAAGAGTCGCTTAAAAGTCTCTAAAGTATCTAACTCCACTACCACTGCTGGCAGCGCATTCCACGCACCCGCCACTCTCTGTGTGAAGAACCTACCTCTGACATCTCCCCTATACCTTCCTCCAATCACCTTAAAATTATGCCCCCTCGTACTAGTCATTTCCGCCCTGGAAAAAAGTCTCTGGCTATCCACTCTATCTATGCCTCTCATCATCTTGTACACCTCTATCAAGTCACCTCTCATCCTTCTTCAGTCCAATGAAAAAAGCCCTAGCTCTCTCAACCTTTCCTCATAAGACCTGCCCTCCAGTCCAGGCAGCATCTTGGTAAATCTCCTCTGCACCCTCTCTAAAGCTTCCACATCTTTCCTGTAATGAGGTGACCAGAATTGAACACAATATTCCAAGCGTGGTCTAACCAGAGGTTTATAGAGCTGCAGCATAATCTCACAGCTCTGAAACTCAATTCCCCTGCCAATGAAAGCCAACACACCATACGCCTTCTTTACAACCTTATCAACTCGGATAGCAACTTTGAGGAATCTGTGGACGTGGACCCCAAGATCCACACTGCCGAGAATCCTGTCATTAACCCTGTATTCTGCATTCAAATTCGACCTTCCAAAATGAATCACTTCACACTTTTCCAGGTTGAATTCCATCTGCCACTTCTTTGCCCAGCCCTGCATCCTGTCAGTGTCCCATTGCAACCTACAACAGCCCTCCACGCTGTCCACAACTCCACCAACCTTCGTGTCATCAGCAAACTTACTAACCCACCTTTCCACTTCCTCATCCAAGTCATTTATAAAGATCACAAAGAGCAGAGGACCCAGAACAGATCCCTGCGGATCACCACTGGTCACCGAGCTCCAGGCTGAATACTTTCTATTTACTACCACCCTCTGTCTTCTTTTAGACAGCCAGGAAACATCAACTTTCCTGCTCCTCTGATGCTGCCTGGGCTGCTGTGTTCCTCCAGCTCCACATTGTGTTACCTAGGTTTGGAAGGTGCTGTGTTAAAAGGTTTGGCGAGTTGCTACACTGCATCTCGTACAAAACAAAAACGGAAATTGCCGGAGAAACTCAGTGGGTCTGGCAGCATCTGTCGAGAGAAAGCAGAGTTAACATTTCAGGTCCAGTGACTCTTCATCTGAACTTACTTTGATCTGATTGATCGCTGATTTCTGCTGCCTTTTAGAGTGTGCTGACAGCATCTTATTACTGTCCATTTAAACATTAGACAACCTCTGACCTGGCTGAACGTTTATTGAGGGATTTGCCAGTTGCAAATCGTATCAATTATTTGAGCACAATGAGTGGAAAGCCAGAGCTGTAAAGGTCATTAGTTTTTAAAAAAAGTATCGGTATTTCCAAAACCAATACAAGGAGGTTCTTCCTACATTTTATATGCCATCTATCAGCTGCTATCCATAAAAACAAAAGGTGCTAGGGTAGACCAGTCAGCTCTTTAAGCCTCTTCTTTCATTCAATATGGTTATGGCTGATCCTGGCTTTCATCTCCATATTCCAGCCCACTCCCTCTATCCTGGAGGGACCAAATATCTCAAGTGTTTGAGGCTTAAATATATTCAACGATGGAGCACACACTGATCCTGGGGATAGAGCATTGAGAAGATTTGCTATCCTTTGAAGAAATTTCTCCTAAATGTTTGTCTGCTTCTCCTGAGACTTTGTTCCCGTGTTCCGGTTTCGGGGGTCATAGGTGCAGGATGAAGAGAAAGGCACATGTCATGGTATATGTGTCATTTTACATTGCAAGCTCTGCTGTTTTGAGGCCATTGTAGATTCAGCACTGGTACTTATCAAACATCGTTCACAGTAACTTTTGGTTTTATTGTAGCGAGTTGGTCTGATGTTAGAATTCATGTTACAACCGGAATGAGCAACTTTTCCCCAGGCAACAGAATTCTCCATGTTTCAGTATTGTGGCTAGAATAGCCATTCTGTAGCAAGGCTGGGAACAAGTTTGTTTACGCTTTAGTTCTGAGCTTTGTTGCAGAACGGTGACATCTGTAAATCCAGGATCTTGAGACCTGCCCCTTAACTGATAGTCTTTTACAAATTTACCTGAATAAGTGATGAATTCTTTTGTACTACTGCAGCAGAGTTTGAAAAATGGCATATTTTCCCAATTTGACACTGTCAGCTCTGGGTGGTGTGCAACATGATTAGAGTGACCTCATGTTGTTTAAAGTGTCAGTGTGCCCTGTTCTGGTGGCAGTGCCAGTTTCTGTAGACTTCTCTGAAATGACTGGCAATTGACCACCTCCACCTGGGAGATTGCCACCAATGGAGAATGTGAATAGGAGGGAGAGTGCCACCTGAAGAGAGTGCCCAGAGGATAAAGTAACTCCTGATAATAATACAGGTGAGAGAGAGGGTGGCACCCACAGGAGATGCCAATCTGGGAAAATGTGGCACTAACAAAATAACAAGTGAGTGGCATCAAGAGGGAGTTCCTCAGGGTAATGTCCTAGGCCCAACCATCTTCAGCTGCTTCATCAATGACATTTCCTCCATTGTATGGTCAAAAGTGGGGATGTTCGCCGATGATTGCACAGTGTTTAGCATCATTCACAACTCCTCAGACACTGAAACAGTCCATATTCAAATGCAACAAGAACTGGACAATATCCAGGCTTGGGCTGAGAAGTGGCAAGTAACATTGGTGCCACACAAATGCCAGGCTATGACCATCACCAGTATTAGACAATCTAACCATTGCCCCTTGATATTCAATGGTGTTACCATCACTGAATCCTGCGCTATTGACCATTGACCAGCAACTCAGCTGGACTGGCCACATAAATGAAGTGGCTACAAGAGCAGGTGTGGAATTTTGTGATGAGTAACTCACCTCCTGACTCATCAAAGCCTGTCCACCATCTACAAGTCACAAGTCAGGAGTGTGATGGAATACTCCCCACTTGCCTGGATGGGTGCAGCCCCAACAACACTCAAGAAACTTGACACCATCCAGGACAAAGCAGCCCGCTTGTTTGGCACCACATCCACAAACATCCACTCCCTCCACCACCGACGCTCAGTAGCAGCAGTGTGTACTATCTACAAGATGCACTGCAGAAATTCACTAAAGATCCTCAGACAGCACCTTCCAAACGCACAGCCAATTCCATCGAGAAGGACAAGGGCAGTAGATACACGGGAACACCAACCCCTGCAAGTTCCTATCCAAGCCACTCACCATCCTGACTGGGAAATATATTGCTGTTCCTTCACTGCTGCAGGGTCAAATTCCTGGAATTCCTTCCCTAATGGCATTGTGGGTCAACCCACAGCACATGGGCTGCAGCGGTTCAAGAAGGCAGCTCACCCCCACCTTCTCAAGGGGGCAACTAGGGATGGTCAATAAATGCTGGGCCCAGCCAGCAACGCCCACATCCCACAAATGAATAGAAAAAGGGGTACGCCAGCTGGGAAATTGATCAGTCCTCTCCCACTGCCTCATTAACATTGACCACTGGAGCTGCCAATGTTACTGTAACTTAGTGACCATTGGGTGGTCCTGAGTCCTTGGCACCATCAGTCTTGCACCTTAAAGGACAGGGGATGAATTGATTCAAGCCACTGGTCAATGAACCTGATCAGACGGCAAGGTCAGAGCCTCAAGTTTCAAAGTGAAGAATTATCATGAAAGCAGGCAGGCTCGGATATGTGAAGACAGCTAGAATTGGTATTTCTTGAGAATTGTCCTGATGAGAGTAAGATGAAAATCTTCAACAAGATGTGTCTTTTTTTTT